GCAATCTGCTGAATAAACCACAAACAGTACTGCTGCCCTAAATAACCCAGATCCCAATTAAAAAACAGTCTTCTACTTGACTTGAGAAACCCAGACATTAAGACTGTGTCAAACAGCAGCTTTTCCTGGGGGCTACCGAGCCCAACTACTGAGCATCAGAGTCCAACAAGGAAGGTTATTTATTTATTTTTCAATAAACCCCACTTGGTAGAAATTCAACATACAGGTGGGAACAGCACAGATGACATTGGCTGAGCACAGGGGCACCTGGACTGGATGGCAACACCAAGGACACCACCGTCTCCTTCCTCCTCCAAGTTCCAGTCAGGATGGAAGAAAAACGTATTTCAGACAAGAAATTGCGCCAGCCCTGGAAAACTCAATAAAGTTTTCATGCGTAAAAGAGGTGTTCCAGAGGCTGGTCATTTGACGTCAAGATGGGTGATGAAAGGGCCTCACTAATTCCCTGGGATGCAGACAAAAATGCCAAGGGGACAAGACCAGGCTCCCATTAGTAGCAGCTTCATTAAGATATATGTAAAAGAGAATTTGAGGTGTCAATGAGGGGAGCCAGACTCACATTTTCTTTCCAAAAAAAAAAAAAAACAACCCAAACACCTCTTGGTACAGCCAGTAAAAGGGAACATCTGCACGATCAGAATGAAAATGGGTACCCACTGGATTTTCTCTTTCCTTCTCAAACTGACTATAAGTGTCTAACAAAATGCGTGGCTGGAAAATTCCACTGGCTCCAGGGCTCAGCGACACTCCACTCTGCCTCATCAACTCTCTAAACAGGTCCTAAAGCTGCCACCGCCTCATCTTTTCCTAAAGGGGAGAAGTCCTTGGTCTGGGGTACCACCTTGGGTCTTCATCTCCTCTTCGTCTGCACTCATCTCCTTGGTGACCTCATCCAGTCCCATGGCTTTAAATACTAGCTTTGTCTTTATAACTCTCTATTTTCTAGTTCTAGCCCAGACCTTTCTCACAAACTCTAAACTTGAACATCCATCTCCTCTTGAATATCTCCACTTGCTCAAAATGGAGCTCCTGACCCTCCCCCTTAATTCATTCACAGCCTTACTCTTATCCAGCTTTCTGGCTGTTCAGGTCAAAACTTTGATGTTGTTGTTGTTATGTGCCATTGAGTCGGACCTGACTCATAGCGACCCCTCCTTGGGTTTCCGAGGCAGTATCACTACGGAAGTAGATTGCCCAACCTTTCTTCCGAGGAGTGTCTGGTGGGTTTGAACCACCAGCCTTCTGGTTAGCAGTCAGGTGCCTCAGGCACTACACTACCAGAGCTCCCAAAACTCCCAAAACTTCTGTAGCCATCAAAACTCTGAAGTCATCCTTAATTCCTATGTCTCACTTCAAATCATCAGGAAATAATGTGGCCTTCAATATATAGCCCAAATCTAATCTCACTACTGTCAGTGACTTCTATCTTGACTCGAGACATTCGATCAGGTCTCCCCTGGACTGTTGCAACAGCCTTCTGTCAGACTCCCTGCTTCCATCTTTGCTCTCTGCCATGGATTAAATTATGTTGCCCAAAAATTTATGTTGAAATCCTAACTCCTGGTGCCTATGAATGTGACCTTGTCTGGTAATAGGGTCTTTGAAGATGTTTTCAGCTAAGTAAACATGGGGTCATACTGGAGTAAGGTGAGTCTTAATCCTATATGACCAAAAACTCACTGACATTGAGTTGATTACGACTCATAGCGACTCCCATTGGTTCCCAAGGCAGTAGGTCTTCACGGGAGTAGATTTACAATCTACCTTCCATGGAGCAGCTGATGAGTCTGAACCACCAACCTTCTGGTTAGCAGTCAAATCCCTTAAGCACTATGCCACCAGAGAGAAGATACAGAAACATTAAGAGACACACAGGGAAAGTTGCATGTGAAGATGCATCTACAAGCCAAAGAATGCCAAGAAATGCCTGGGGTTGCCAGAATCTGGAAGAGATAAGCAAAGAACTTCCCCTAGAGCAGACAGACAGCATGGCCCAGCCAACACCCTGAATTTGATCCCAGCCTGCAGAACTGTGAGATAATAAACGTCTGTTGCTTAAAGCTACTCACTTAGTGGTATAGCCCTAGGAAACCAATACATCCCTCATAGGCTGTTCTCAACACAGGAGCCAAAGGGATCCTTCCTAAGTTTGATCAGGCCATTTCTCCTTCCAAAACCCTCTAGTGGCTTCCATTTCACTCCAAGTAAATGGTATCATACCAGATATCAAGGAGACCACACACGAATACAGAGACCCTGTCAAAGGACTCAGGAATCACTTGAAGAAGCTCCCATTCACCAACCATGAGACCACGGAGCATCAGTAAGGATAATAACTACCACCGCATTGAAACATACCAATATGTTTAAATCCATGAGTTCAGAAATCTCATTGATTACTATTGGAAGATGCTAGTGAAACAACTCATTATTCTGAAAATGTAAATACAGAAAAAGTATCAAGCACTTCTTATGTGAACTTTGCCACTAGGCAACCAAACAGTAACTCAAAGAAGGTGTTCCAGTTACTAAGTGAAGAAGAAATGACAGATTTAGAAGGTCATGCTTCAACTCCTGATTACATAATTACAGATCTAGGTATTGAACAGCTGGCTGCTACCATCACAGAAAGAAAGGCAACCAGACATGTGCCTACTGCTGGAACAACCTGAAATCACTTATGAAGTCAGCCACTCCCCCACCCTCCAAAAAAAACTGAAACTGAATCCGATCAAATTTCTAGATCCAACTGGTATTTTACAAGAATTACAGAGGAACCTGTGATGTGCGAATGCAGTTCTCATGACTGTGAGAAACCCTTCTGGATGAACAATAAGTAAATTACAAAGGGAAGTGGTGATGGGGAAGCTACCATCAAAGGAGGAGTCCCCAGGTGGTGCAGATGGTGGACATGCTGCTACCTGAAAGGCTGGAGGTTCAAGTCCACCCGGAGGCACTTCAGAAGGAATCTAGAGACCAGCTTCTGAAGCAGCAGCCTGGAAACCCAGTGAAGCGTGGTTCCACTGACACGTGGGGTCCTAAGTTGGAACCAACTCCACGGCAGTTGGTTTGTTTTTTCAGTCAAGAAAAATATCAACTTATCACAACCTGTGGACCTTAATCCGGACCCTGATTCAGATAAACAAAATATGCCTGTATGATTTATGAGAAAATTAGAAATTTGAACACTAATATTTGATGATAATGAAACTTTTTTTTTTAATTTTTATGGTGATTTGGGTGAAAGTCTACAGAGCAAATTCATTTCCCATACAGTAGTAGTTCATACACATTTTGTCTCATGACATTGGCTGCAATTTCCCACCATGTAACAGCTCTCTTCCCACTTGAAGAATCTTTTTTAAGCTGTCATAATGGCAGTACGATTATTTTAAATAAAAGAGCTCTTATTGTTTAGAAATAGATACCACAATAGTCCCAGGTGAAATGATATGATATCTGAGAGTTGCTACTGGTACTACTGGGGAGACAATATGGTTGCAGGATGGATGAAACAAGATTGACTACAAGTTCATAATTATTGAAGCTAGGTGAAGGGTGCATGGTGTTTCATTACACTGTTCTGTCGACGTTTACTTTTTTATAGTTTGAAATTTTCCATAATGAAGTTATAAATACTGGGCTCCACTTCAGAGATTGAAATTAATTAGTCTGGGCTTCAACTCAGACACCAGTATTTTTTCAAGGCTTCCCAGGTGCTTCTAATGCAAGAACTATTATAATCACTTACACAAGAGGTGCTGAGCCTGAGCTAAGACCAAGGCAGAGGTTTTGGTGAGGAAAGGACTGGTCTGGGAGAGGTCAAGGAGCCAGAATGACCCAGATGTGCTTGCTGTGGTGGGGGAAGGGATAAGGAGAGGACGTGGTCAAGGACAATGGGAGAGTTCAAGCTCTGGTGACTGTAGAGTGTTTGTCACTGGAACAGTGAACAGGTCAGGGCTGGCAGCTTTGGGGGCTGGGGGAAGGAGCTGAGTTGGTTTTGGACACACTGACTTCAAGGGGCCTGTGTGACTTCCAGCAGAGATGTGCTGGTGGGCAGTTGTCTTATGGGTTTGGAGATCTACAAAGACCCTGAAGCAGCCACAGAAACACAAGCTCCACAGGGCTGACCCTCAACCCAGGACAGAGGTCAGCATGGCTGCAGCCAATGATGCCATCTGGGCTTCTCAGAAACAACAGCATCTTGGCCCCTGCCACTGGAAGGGGGTGGTGTGGATGGCCCCATTCTTTTTGCTACAGGTCTCCATTCCTTGTCTCTCCCTCCCACTGTCCACACCCTTGGATGGGAACTCAAAGGGCAGTCAGCAAGAGCTGAGGGACCCCAGAATATTCCCACATCGTCTGATGGATAGACAATCAGCATTTGTCAAATAAATGAATGACCAGGAGCCTCTGAAGCAGTCAGGGTGGTGTGAGCAGAGCAGGCCTGTGCCAGCAGCCAGCAGACTGGCTTGAAACAGCCAATACTTTTCAGCTGCAAACATGGACTGAGAGCCTGTATGTGCCAGGCACTGTGCTAGGCAGAGGAAACAGGAAGCCCAGGAGCTGCCTTCAGGGAGCTTGCATTCTAGTGGGAAGCCAGGCAGTAAGCAGTATACAAACATACACAAGCTTTGGGATTTTATGAAATGGGTTCTCTGCTGGGGGAAGGAACCACAGAGTCCAAATGCTACCTGGGGGTGTTGGGAAAAGTGCCCAATGTCTCCAGACACTGCCTCGAACAATAACCCAGGCTCATGGAATCTGAGAGCTAAAGGAGCCTCACTGTACAGAAGCAGTGACTGGGGCCCCAGGAGGAGGTGGCCCACTTGTGCTCGCCCTGCAAGTTTAGATCCCGAGATAAGTCCATATTCTCCAGGTCTGCACTGAGAGTTTCTAAGGGAACACATCTTCTTTGGGAAGAAAAACAGCCGCTGATCAGAGGGCCTGAAGGCTGCCTGCCCAGAGCAGGAACTTACCACCGCGTCGAGGAACTGGATGTAACACTCCAGCCCAGGCCTGGCCTCGCAGAACTGCCGGAAAAGCAGCCTCCCGATCGGCTGTTTGTCACATAAGCTGTAGTAATCTCTGTCTGGAGACAAGAATAGAAAGGGGTGGTGAGACCCAGAAAGGGGAGGACACCGGCCCACACCTGGACCCAGACCCCAGGTGCATGGAGCAAGGGGCCAGCAAACTCCTAGGCTCCGTCATTTGCCTCACAGGCTCCGTGGTCTGAGAGGAGACATGTCAGTGTAGGGGAAGGTGCCTGCCGTCTCTCAGGGTCCATTCCCCACCCCACCAACCCTTCCCAACACTCTGTTTTCTGTCTGGAGATGCCAACTGCTCTGGAGGCTACGACTGACCTGCCACCTGGCCGGCCACTCAGCAAATCATGTTTCCCTGGCTACGGTAAGTGGACAAGGCAGCAGGAAAGTGACCACTCATCTGCCAGTTTGTCATACTGTGGGGACGTGCGTGTTGCTGTGATTGATGCCAGAAGCTATGCCACTGACATTTCAAATAGCAGCAGGGTCAGCCATGGTAGACAGGTTTCAGTGGGGCTTCCAGATTAAAACAGGCTAGGAAGAAAGACCAGGTGGTCGACTTCCAAAAATTAGCCAGCGAACACCCTCTGGAGCACAGAATAGTGTCCTCGACTTCAGCTTGTCATCAAGAGGGACCGACTGCAGGAGAAGGACATCGTGTTTGGAGAACCAGAGGGCCAGTGAAGGTGAGGGGAACCCCCTATGAGATGGACTGAGATAGTGACCCCACAGTGGACACAAACCCACCATGCATCATGAAGATGGGCCAGGGTGAGGCAACACTTCATTTTTTTCTATGTAAGGTCACCATGAATCGGAGCCAACTTGATGACAACTAACCCAACAGAAAGGAGGGATGTATCCAGTCAGATGACCACAGCCTGCCTGGGCCTGTGGGGGCAAAGGTGTTCTCTCGTCCTCTGGATGCTGGGTCCATGAGTGTGAGGCCAGGGTCTGGGGCAGTATTCTCCACACTGTAGGGGAAGCTGCTGTGAGGAAGGGCTGACAACATGGAGGAGTTCAGAGCTGGGAAAGTTACAAGAAGTGAAGTTGGTGCCATGGTGACGTCATGAATCTCTGGATCAAACCATGCCTGCAGCCCAAACCACATCTGAGAAGCTTACTCATGGGGCAACACAGTCCCTTTGTTTAAGCCAATTTGAGGTGTTTTTGATTTATTTGTTTTAATTACTTGTAACTCAAAGAATCCTAATGGTTATAGTTAAAAAAAAAAAATTGCCCAATTGGAGCAGAGCCCAGTCTCAAGAGGCTTTGAATGATGAAAATTCTGCATTTTCCAGCTGAGGTGGTACAGGCATGGAGACAGCCCTCAGCCATTCAGTAACCTAGAGACTTCTAAAGAAGAAATGCAGCATAAGACTCTAAGCCCAGAGGTCCAGATGCCAGGGTTCCAAATGCTGAATTGCTGTGTGACTTTCAGCAACTCACTTGCCCTCTCTGGGCCTCCGTTTCATGAAGGCGCATATGTGGGGGTGAGATTGGGGTCCCCTCTGGCTCTTCCTACAGAAGTTTTCTATGGTAGAAAGACACTCAAAGGACTGACTGAGACACGCAGCCTTGGGCCCTGAGCACTGATGTCGGGCCTTTAATACTGTGGCTACACCAGAAATCATCAGGTGACTTGGTGGGAAAACTGGGAAGAGGATGAGCTAGAGCTCAGAAGGAGAGCCAACTTGGACAGAAGGAATGAATACATCCTTGGTGAATCTAGAGCAGGAGCCAGGACAATCACCAGTGAGTCCCAAAGAGTTTATCCACAGGAGCTAAAGCTACTACTTAGAGGAAGGTGAGCTAATGTGGTGGCTGTGTTGTGGATTCAGATCACAGCCTCACTCGCTGGCTGTATGACCTGGACAAGTGAGTTGGTACTTTTATGCCTCGGTTTCCTCTGCTGTAAACCTGGGGGAGTAAATGAACCTACTTTCTAGGGCTGCCATGAGGATTAAATAAGACCATGCCTAAAAAGTACTCAGAGCACAGCCTGTCGTTAGGTGCCATCAAGTCGGTTCCGACCAGTAACAACTCTGTATGTAACAGGACGAGACACTGCCCGGTCCTGTGCCATGCTCAGAATCACTGCTGTGTTTGAGCCCATAGCTGCAGCCACTGTGCCCATCCATCTCATCGAGGGTCTTCTTTTTAGCTGACCCTCTACTTTACCAGCATAATGTCCTTCTCCAGGGACTGGTCCCTCCTTGATAACACGTCCAAAGTACGTGAGATAAAGTATTGCATCCTTGCTTCTAAGGAATACTCTGGCTGTACTTCTTCCAAGACAGATTTGTTCATTCTTCTGGTAGTCCACGGTATATTCAATTTTCTTTGCCAATACCATAATTCAAATGCATCAGTTCTTTGGTTTTCCTTTTTAATTGTCCAGCTTGGCACACAGGAAATGCTTGATAAAATGCTGCTATTATCATGGGTTTTTTGATCTGTCCCAATCCTTTCCTTTGGGGAACCCATTCTCCTTGAGTTTGTAAAAGCCCAGCTCCAGCTTTCTAGTACAAAATGAAGCTGGCTCCTCCCAAGCCCTAGGGATGAATCCATGACTCACTCCTAGCCAGTCAGAGCCCTTTCTCTCCTAGCCAAAATGATTGGTTCAGAGATGGACACATGACCCAAGCTGGACCACTTAGAGTCATTCCATGGCTTTTGTCAGAACTTGCTGGAAAGAGGGTGTCCTCTGGGATGGCCTGAGGACTAGCCCACCAGGTGCTGCCAAGACTGTTCCCACCATACATGGGAACATAGAGAAGAGTGGGGAAGGGAAACCTAGGTTTGAGACTATCGCGTGAGTCCTGAAGCAAGCTTCCCACCTGGATGTGTTTTTACCTGACAGTCTGCTTAAGTCCCTTGGCATTGGGTTTCTGTCTCTGACTAAAAGAGCAGAGATCAAGCACATAGGCGAGAGAGTTTGAGAGTCCACTTCTCTTTTCAAGGGTTAACTGCCTGAGGACAGGGGCATTTTTGTGGGGATTCACCATAGTTCTAAGTGCAGCATGTTTAAGAAGGGGCTCAAAAATTCCTCACCCAGTGAGCAACACAGTAGCACCAAAGAAAAAGAAGACACAGAGATGTATAAGATGTACAGATAACAAAGATAAAGATTTTTTGTTTAAATTTTTGTGATTTGTGTGAAAGTTTACAGAGCAAATTCCTTTCCATATAGCAGCTCACGTACACTTTGCCTAATGACATTGACTACAATTTACCACAATGCAACAGCTCCCCTCCCACCTCCTCCCCATAGCCACCTCTTCCCTGTGTCTTTCCCTCCCATGCACTCCTGCCGCTGAGCTGTCTCCCTGTGTATACGTAGCCCTTCTATTCTCCCGTGATTGATTGCTCCAAGGACTGTATCTACCTAATGTAAATGTTCAGCTCATATGCCTGATTTTTGTTTGGCTGGAAGCCACAGGAGTGGGTTCAATTCCAGACCTGAAGGCCAACTAGGGGCCATAGTCTCAGTGCTTCCATCAGGCTCTATCAGACCAGCAAACCTGGTCTCTTTTTAAAAAATGATTTTGAGTGTTGTTCCACATTGTTCTCCCACTCTATCCAGGATCTCATTTAGAGATCCCCCAGATAAACACTTTTATATATATATAATACTGCCTTTTCAGTAATAACATTTTCATTTTCTACGAGCAGAAAATTTCATTAATCTACGGGTAGATACATAGGCAAGACAGACTGAATGATCAGGTATGTCTAGGCAAAAGGGAATGAATATATCCGTGACCATATATAAAGTTGGCTGATGATATTTCTACATACGTATTTGTGTGTGCTGTAAAAATGTCCACATAAATAGAACTAACAGGGGGCAAAGTTATAATAACTTCTTAGCCACAACCAGCCACTCTGAGGTAGCGAGTTGTTGGATCTATGGGCTCGGGACCATGGTCACAGTGGGCATCAAGTTCAATTGGCATAATATACTACACAAAAATACTATTCTACACCCTACTTTGGTAAGTAGCAACTGGAATCTTAAGAGCTTGCAAGTGGCCATCAAGATGCAACAACTGGTCTCTCCTTATCCAGAGCAAAAAAGAATGAAGAAAATCAATGACACATGGAAACAATTAGTCCAAAGGACTAGTGAACGATGTGAACCTCAACCAATATGACTATTGGCACCTGGCTACCACTGTCAACCACTCAGAAAGGGATTAGTGCAGGAGATCCTGGATAGAGTAGGAAAACAGTGTGGAACAAAACTCAAAATCATAAAAAAAGACAAGGCTTACTGATCTGATAAAGCCTGGTGAAAGTCCTGAGACTATGGCCCCTAGTCACTCTTCGGGCCTGGAACTGAACTCACTCCCATGGCTTCTAGTCAAACAATAGACAGGTATATCAGATGAATATTTACACCAGGCAGTACACTCCTTAGAACAATGAATTGTGGGAGATCAGAAGGGCAGTATTTGCACAGGGAAATAGCTCAAGGGGCAGGAATGCGTAAGAAAGAAGGACACAGGGAATAGGTAACCACAGGGAGGAAGTGGGAAGAGAGCTGTTACATTACGGGGATTGTAGTCAATGGCACGAAACAAAATGTGTATGAACTGCTGTTTGGAAAATGAACTTGCTCTGAAAACTTTCAACCAAATCATAAGTGAAAAAGAAAAAAGTTCTCATACACTCCTGAGTGGAAACTTAGATCGATATAGATAAACAGGTTTCTAAGTCCCCTTCATGCCTGGATGGTACGGTTTCTGTGGTCACTGTAAAGGCTGGGAGTTCAAGGCAACCCAGAAGCACACTGAAGGAAAGGCCTGGTAACCTGCTTCTGAAAAATCCGTCACTGACAACCCAGGGGAGCACAGTCTATTCTGACACACACGGGGTCACAGGGCGCTGCAATCAACTCCACGGCAACAGGCTAAGCCTTCCTCTTGGTCCTTCCCCGGATGATGTGGGGCTGAAACCAGCCCTGGACTGCTGCCTTAACGCTTCAGCTCTGGGTGAGGCTCCCTTCTCCATGCACAGATGGTTCAGCAATGGTCACTCCAAC